GCAGCAGCAGCAGCAGCAGGTTTCGACGCCCGGCCGCGGAGTCGCGCAGCGAAACGTGCAACGCAGCGCACCAAGTGAGAAACGGAGAAACGCAAACGCAGCACCAGCAGCAGCAGCAGCCGATCCCCACCCCAGCACCAGCACCAGCAGCAGCAGCAGCACCGGCACCACAGACAGCGAGACCACCAGCAGCAGCAGCAGCAGAAACCAAACGCCGTACCTTTCCACACGAAATTTCCCCTCTTTTCAATTGCAATTTGCTGTCCCGAACCTCACTTCCTGCTGCTGCCCCGCCAGCAGCTGCTCCTCCCGCGGGAGGTGGCCCCGCAGCAGCAGCGGCCGCAAGCCGCCGCTGCTGCAGCCGCTGCTGCTCCCGCTGCTGCTGCTGCTCCAGCAGCAGCAGCGCACAGCTCGCAACCGCGATCGATCCTAGTGTAAACTTAACCTGCAAGTGCTTTCTTTACTTCTTCTCTCCTAAACAACTCTCTTGCCTCATTTTGCAACTTTTGCTGCTGCTTCCCCGCTGCTGCTGCTGCTGCTGCTGCCCAGCTGCTGCTGCCGCTGCTGCTGCTCCAGTCTGGAGACGCGGATCGTCGATTCCGACCTGCCCCCAGCTGCAGCAACAGCAGCAGCTGCTGCTCCCCAACCCGCAGCTCCTCTCAAACAGCTTCCTGCTGCAGCTGCTGCTGCCCCTCGGCGCCCTTCCCGCCGCTGCTGCTGCTGCTGCCGCCGCTCACCTGCCTTGACTTGAGGCGACAATGCGCCACTTGCTGCTGGTGTGTGTTGCTGCTGCTCTCGGCTGCGGAGGCCCCTCTGCTGCTGCTGCTGCTGCTGCACCTGGCGCCCAACGCGACAGGCACAGGCCCCAGCAGCAGCAGCAGCAGCAGCAGCAGCAGCAGAACTTCGACGGAGACGACGGCTTCGACCTGTCCCTCGAAGACTTCATTGCTGGAGGCGGGCTGGAAGAGGAGGAGGAGCAGCAGCAGCAAACCACCAGCAGCAACCCAGACAGCAGCAGCAGCAGCAGCAGCGGCTGGGGCGTCAGCAAACTGCTCGATGCAGCAGAAGCAGCAGGAAAGGCCTTCGCCGAGTCGCTGCTCTCCGTGGGGACGCTGCAGCAGCTGCTGCAGCAGCAGGAAGAGCCGCAGCAGCAGCAAGATGAAGAAGACCTGGAATATGATGAAGAAGACTTGTTTGCTGCTGCGGAGCCTGCCGGGAGCTTGAGCCGGGTGTCTGCTGCAGCACGAGGGGGCGTTGCTGCTGCTGCCGCTGCTGTTGCCGCAGCAGAGCAGCAGACACAGTCGCTTGCAGCTTCCGTTGCTGCAGCAGGCGCGCAGGCGCAGCAGCAGCTGCAGCATTTCTACGGATCCGTGCTGCAGCAGGCGCAGGGCTTTGCTGCTGCAGCAGCAGAAACAACTGCAGCAAAAGACCTGCAGCACGTGCTGCTGCTGCTGTCCCAAGGGAAGACCTTGTCTCTCTCTGATCCTGCAGTCCGGCGCTGCGCTGAGGGACTCTCCTTCGTGTTTGCTGCTGCTGCTGCTGCTGCAGCAACAGCAGCAGCAGACAAGCAAGCAGGCGGAAGCATCATAGCTGCCATACTCAAGGCGCTCGCGGAGGGCAGCAGCAGCAGCAGCAGAGGCAGCAGCAGCAGAGGCAGCAGCAGCAGGGGCACCAGCAGCAGCGACAGCAAGAGGAGACACCGACGCCTGAGAACCAAACACAGGCTGGAGCAGCAGCAGCAGCTGCTGCAGCAGCAGCAGCAGCAACAGCGCAGGCGCCGCAGGCAGGCAGACCGGCAGCAAGGAGACACCGAAAGTATTACTGCAGCAGTTCTCAGCGCCTTGCTGGCAGCAACAAACTCCAGCAAACAGGAGCCCCACGTCGAGCAGCAGCAGCAGCAGCAGCAGCCCCAGCAGCAGCAACAGCAGCAGCAGCTCCAGCAGCTGGAGCAGCAACAGCAGCAGCTGGAACAGCTCAAGCAGCAACTCGCGCAGCTGCAGCAGCAGATCGCTGGTCAAAAGTAGGCGCTTGTATGCCGCCGCATGTCCTGCTGCAGCCCCAGCAGCAGCAGCAACAGCAGCAGCAGCAGCAACGGCAGCAGGTACTTGATTGTATTGTATATACACCTAGAGTCAAGGCAGCACTTTGCTGCTCATTCTTTGGCCCCTCATAATCCACATTTTGGCCGCGGGACCAGCAGCTAGCTAGCTAGCTAGCTAGCTAGCAAGCTAGCTAGCTACACAGCTAGCCAGCTAGCTAGCAAGCTAGCTAGCTGGCTAGCCGCAGGGCTAGCCTCCAGCTAGCTAGCTAGCTGGCTAGCGGTGCAGCCATCCGGCTGGCTAGCTGGCTAGCCGTGCAGCTAGCTAGCTAGCTGGCTAGCCGTGCTAGCTAGCTAGCTGGCTAGCTGGAAGACTGAATAGATGGCTGGTGGTCGGGCGAGACAGCTGCTACTTGTGGCTAGCTGGCTAGCTAGGCAGCTAGCTGCCGAGGTCGCTAGCTAGCTAGCTGGCTGGCTAGCTAGCTGGCTAGCTAGCTGGGAATTTGCTAAGTGGCTCGACACACGTGGCTAGCTAGCTAGCTGGCTAGCTAGCTAGCTAGCTAGCCAGCGGGATGCCCCGCCCCGCAGTACTGGGCGGCTTCGTTTGAAGGCAGCAGCAGCAGTTTCTGCTGCTGCTGCTGCTGCTGCTGCTACCAAACTTGTAACGAATGAAGTCCCGTACATACGTGGGGTTGCTGCTGCTGCTGCGGCAGCAGCAGCAGCAACTGCGGCAGCTGATAGCAGCTAGCCAGAACACACACGTACTTCTACGTAGCGGAAGTAGCAGCACCTGCTGCTGCTGCTGCCGCACCAGCTGCTGCGGCAGCTCCTACTGGTGCAGCTGCTGCTAGTGCAGCAGCTGCTGCTGCTGCTACAGCTGCTGCGAGTGCAGCAGCGCCAGCTGCTGCTGCTAGTGCAGCAGCTGCTGCTAGTGCAGCAACTGCTGCTATAGCTGCTGTTAGTTGAGCAGCTGCTGCTGCTGCACTAGATATCTAGCAGCAGATTTTGGAGTGCCCAGGTCCACACGGAAGGGGAGGGGGCTCTTTCTGCTGCTGCTGCTGCTGTGTCTCGCTCCCTGGTTTGCTGCTGCAGTGCTGCAGCATCTGCTGCTGCTAGGGCTGTCTCCCCACTAACGAGGTCCCAGCAGCGGCAGAAGCCCGGCGGCTGCTGCTGCTTCACCCGCAGGAACTTGCTGCTGCTGCTGCTGCTGCTGTGCTGCTGCTGCTGCTGCTCTGGGAAGCAGCGCCTGACGAGCTCTACGAGGAGACTCTTGTGGCACTCAGGGCACTCCTTTAGAGACTCGCGCAGCACTTGCTGCTGCTGCTGCTGCTGCTCTTGGTCTGTAGATGTGCTGCAGACACATGTGCTGCATGCGGTGACCCTACTGCTGCTGCTGCTGCTCCAATGATGCAACCTGCTGCTGGTGCTGCAGTGATGCAGCCTGCTGCTGCTGCTCAAAGGGTAGCAGCTGCCAGAGCAGGGCCG